CCGAGGCCATGTCGACGGGGCCAGGGCCGCTGGACAGCTCAGGGGGCGTCGCTGTGCTGGCCTCAGTCCCTGCTGTGCGGGAGGAGCGACCCGCGCGCTTAGCAGGCCTGCCAGGGCACCGAGCACAAGCGGTCAAACTGAACACGGGGCTCGGCTTCCCCATTTTTGTGATCTCGGCCTACCTCGTCGACAGCATAGGGCTCGTTGGTGACAACGTCGTGTTGCTGGGCGCGCTGATGGAGTGGCTTGGCACTTTCGAGTGGCCGTGGATCATCGTGGCCGACTGGAACATCGAGCCTAACTTGCTGACCAGCTGGGCCAGCAAGGCTGACGGGGTCGTTGTCAGGCCGTGGCAGGCCACCTGTGGCAATAGTGAGTATGATTTTGCAATGGTCTCGACGGTGTTGGCCAGCCGTGTTGGCAAGGTGGAGGTCCTCAGCCAGGCGCCGATGCACCCGCACTTGCCTATGGTCACGGAGCTGAACGGCCTGCGCAGGAGGGCCACCATCACGAAGGCCAGTTGCCCCGCCAGGTTTCCCCTCGAGCTCCCTCCGCCGACGCAGCCCGCGCCGCCAGAGCTTGACAGCGGGGATTGGGCCTGGGAGCTGGGGGGCAAGGTCGGGGACGTCCAGGAGGCCGCGGAGTTCTGGCTGGACATGGTGGAGGACTACCTGTCCCGCCTCCGCAGGATTGAAGGCCCGCGGCGTGCACCCCCTCGCTCGCGCGGACTGGTCGTCAAGCAGGTGCCCCTGCGCCTCGAGTGGGCCCGCGCGCTCAAGGCCACCACCAGCCCCGAGACCTGCAGGTGGGCTGGCTTCCTGGCAGCCTGTCGGCGCGCGGCCAGCATTCGAGGCCTGGGCAGACCCTGGCAGCACGCTGCCTTGGGGTCGAGGGTCAGGGTCATCCAGAGCTTTGTGTTCGGAGACTGGTGGCCCACGGCAGGGAAGTTGCAGGAGTGGGGCCCGCGCTCCATTGGGCTAGCCTTCAAGGTGGGCCCGCAGGAGGTGTTTCTTGGGCTGCTAGACTGCATCTACCTCCACGCCCGAGGCTTGCAGGCGCGTGACCGCGCCAAGCGAGCTGCTGAATGGAGAGAGTGGGCTCAGCAGGCAGCTACCCTTGCGGGGGGGCAGCAGGCCTTCAGGTTCATCAGGGATGGCTCCCTCGTGCCCTCCATGATGGTCCAGCATGATGATGATGACGGTGATGAGGGCCTGCCTGTCGCTGGCGATGCTGCCATGCAGGTCCTGATGGCGGAGTGGCAGCCCCTGTGGGTTCACCCAGACAGGGCGGGCGACGCCGACCCTCTGCACTGGCAGCAGGACCGAGGGTGCTGGCAGCAGCTGCGGCCCATCACCATGGACGAGCTCGACCAAGTACTGGCCTCCTACGGGGAGGGCACGGGTCTGGGGTGGGACAGGCTCCACCCCCGTCAGCTGCGCTGGCTGCCCGTCCAGTACCGCCAGGCGTTCCTGGACATCGTGCAGTGCTGGGAGCGGGAGCCGACCAGATGCCCGTTGTGGCTGCTGCTGGTGGTGTTCCTGCCGAAGCCGTCTGGCGGTGTGCGACCCATCATCTTGGCGAGCCTGTGGACCCGTGTTTGGTCCAATCTGCCAGCCCTTGGTGGCCGAGTGGGGGCGCAGGATTGACGAGTCGTTCCACTGGGGCTCGGCTGGCCGCACGTGCGAGAAGGCTGGCTTCGTCCACAACATGATGGTGGCGTTTGCAAAGCGGACAGGCCTTTGTGCCAGCACGCTGGCGGTCGACCTGACCAAGTACTATGAGATGATCAGCCACGACGAGCTGCTGGAGCAGGGCATCGTGACCAGCTTTCCCCTGGCCCTGCGCAGGGCGTTCTGCTCCAGCTACCGCCTGCAGAGGCGAGCGATGCTGGGGGATGGCGTCGGGCCCGTGATTGAGGCCAACGGCGCCACAGCTGCTGGCTGCTCTTGCGCGGTGGGCGTGGCCAAGCTCCTCACCTACGCGCTGCTCAAGGCAGTGGTGATGCGCTACCCGCTGGTGCGTGCCCAGAGCCTGGTAGACGACTGCCTGCTCCAGGCGGTCGGCACGCAGCGCCTCGTCGCCCAGCAGCTCCCGCTTGCGGCTCGAGAGCTTTTCGAAGGCCTGGAGAAGCGGCGCCTCAGAATCAACTGGGGCAAGACGGGCTGGCTCGCCACTGATGCCAGCCTGGCCAAGGAGCTGGACGCGCAATGGGCCGTGCTCGGCCTCCAGCGGCACTCGGGCCTCAGGTGCCTGGGAGGTTATGGCAATGATGGCAGCCGTCGCCGTGTGCCTGAGCAGAACAAGCGCCTGGCCAAGTCCAAGCGCGTGGCGAGCAAGGTGGCGCTCCTGCAGTCCGCTGGGGCCAAGACCTGCCACCTGCATCGCGGGTCGCCGTGTGCCACGGCGGTCTGGGGCTCAGGAGTCACTGGCCTGGCCGGCGGCAAGCTCCACGGCCTCAGAATTGCGGCGCTGCGCTCTGAAGGCCGAGTGGCCGCTGGTTCGTGCCTGGCCTTTCGGATTCGCACGATGCCGAGGGCCGACGCCAGGGGCCCGTTCGTGGTGCACAGCATGGAGGTGGCCAAAGCTTGGGCCACTGGGGTGACGGATGGCATGCTGCTGCCGCGCGCCATCGAGGTGGTCCACGCGCGCGCGCTGGAGCTGCTCGACGCCAGGTCGCCGTGGACGCAGTGTACTGACCCAGCCCAGGCCGCCGTCCTGTGCTTTGCGAGAGCTGGGTGCCAGCTCGTTGAGCCTAGCCTGATTCTTGACCAGCGAGGGAGGCGTGTCGATCTGCAGTTTTTTTTCGCCTGGTGCCGTCTGCAAAGTGGTGCAGCAGGCTGCTTGGGCCGCCTCGGGTGTCATAGCCCTGAAAGGTCTGAGGGGTCCGTGGGTTTCGCAGGTCCACCGGGGCCCCGTTTTGGCTGTTCTGCAGGAATCGTCAGGGCTATGGGCTAAGAGGCATAAGGCCGCCTTTCGTTCCGTCAACTGTGGGGCTCACTGGAGCCAGAGCAGGCTTTTTGATAAAGGCAAAGCCACCCACTGCATGTGTACCAGATGCCGTGACCGAGGCACGTTGTGGCATCGTGTGTTCGATTGTCCCACCACGCAGTTCCTTCGTCGCGAAAGCTGCCCGCCTGAGCTTCTCAGGGCCGCGAGAGTTGTGGCGAGCGAGGGAGTGCAATGTGCTGATTTTTTTTTGCCCGTGGGCTGCTGCCCTCGCCTGTGCACGTCTTTGGATGCGAGGAAGCTCCCGAGGCCAACCATCTCAGGTTTGTCGGATGAAGGCTGGCTGTTCGAAGGCGAGGTGTTTGTGGACGGATCGTCTATGTATACTCAGCATGGAGGCCTGCGCAGAGCGGGGTGGGCGGCTGTCTGCATCAATGACGATGGCTCGTTCAGGTGTGGCATGTATGGAGTTGTGCCCTTAGCTTGGTCCCTCGAGCAGTCCTCGAGGGACGCTGAGGACTTTGCGTTTCATATGCTGTCGCGCTTCTCAGTCGATCCTGCGACTGATGGGCCGCTCACCGTGATGTCAGATTGCACGGGCGCCATAGGTTGTGCGACGTGTGTCTCGAGAGCCCTCAGCCCGTCGAACCCCAGCCGCCATTTTTGGGTGCACTGGTGGGCTAAGCATGGGGCCTCAGCCACGGTCAGGAAGGTGAAAGGCCACGCCGCGGCCTCGAGTGACTCGACTTTCTTTGACACTTGGTGTCGGCGAGGCAGTGACCTGGCCGATCAGTGGGCTAAAAAGGGCGCTCGGCTGTGGGATGTGCCGTCTGAGCGAGTCCTGTTCATCGAGGCGTGTGAGCTCAGGGCCCGTCAGCTAGTTATGTGGATAGGCCAGCTGCACGCCTGGATGGGAGATAGTGAGTTCTGGGACACCGAAGGCGTCGGAGGCACCTCGGATGTTGTCTAGGAGCTGGATTATAGGTCTGATGAGGCCGACGCGGCCCTTCTGGACGAAGCCCTGCTGGCCCGAGAGATCAGTGGGTGGAAGCAGGCGTCGTCTGCTCCCGAGGTGCCCGTGCCCGAGCCGTGTGAAGGGGACGGGGTGGACTTGGGGGAGTTCCCTGGGAGGCCGTGGCAGTTTCAGAGGCACTCGGTTGTCAAGTGTAAGTTCGAGACTGACGGCCAACCTCAGGTTTTTTTTTTTTTTTTTTTTTTTTTTTGTTGCAAGTCCTGCGGGGCCTCGGTGGGCCAAAGGGTGACCCCGAAAAAAAGCCTCGCGGTCGCCTGTTTAGGACCTCGGCACGTCGGGCTCAAATCCCAGCGGTCCAGGTTGAGCCGCTTCTTGCATCCGTCAGCCCTCATGCCTGCCCCCGAGCTCACTGACGTCAGTGGCCTAGAGGAAGCAGATATCGAATGGCTGCACGGGAAGCTGGTGGGGTCCGACCCGTCGCTTGGTGGCGTCTCGGCGGGTCCTGGTCCGTCGGGCGGGCCTCTGGGGGCCCCCGTGGCTGTGGCTTCGAGGGAGCCCGCCAGCTTCCGCCAGTACGGGGTCGAGGTCCCCGTACTGGACCTTTGTAGAGTTGCTCGCCTGCACGGTTTTGTGTCGCCCGAATCGGCGGTGGATTGGGCCCGTGAATACAGGCGAGCTAAGCGTGAGGCCAAGGCTAGCTCAGCCTGGCCTCTCGACGAGGACGCCTAGGCGCCCCGTGCCCCTGTTTGGGGTCCAGCGGACTGCTGCATGCCCGTTCAACCGTTCAACCGATGCTCCCCGCCGCCGCCAGCCGCCGCTGGCAGCCGTCGTCGACATCTTCGTCGTCGTCGTCGTCGTCGCCGTCGTCGTCGTCGCTGTCGTCGTCGTCGTCGTCGTCGTCGTCGTCGTCGTCGTCGTCGTCGTCGTCGTCGTGGTTGTTTTCGTCGTCGTCGTCGTCGTCGTCGACGCCTCCTCCTCCCCCTCCTCCTCCTCTTCCTCCTCCTCCTCCCCCCGTCTCCTCCCCTGTCCTCCTCCCCCCTCCCACTCCTCCTCCGCCATCTGGCGACCTGCCCGGCCGCTCCTCGCGGCTCAGGGCCTCCTCCGTCGCCGAGGCGAGCTCGGCGCCAAGGTCCGGCATCAGCCTCGCCACCAGCCGGTCGAGGTCGTGGCAGTCAGCCATGTTCTGCGGTCGCGTGGCGGGGGACAGGGGAGGAGGGAGAGGGGTCACGAGCTTCGAACGTACCAATATATACCAATATCCACGCCCTCGCGGTCTGGATTCTGAGGCGCGATCAAGCGCATGCGCGGTCTCACGGATGCATCCCGCGCGTGGCATCTGCGGAAAAAGCGCCTCGCGGCCCAGGGGCCCGGCCCGCGAGGCCGCGGATACGGGTCGGTTTTTCGCCCACGAAGGGAACGGGCGGTGGGGGGGAAAGGAGGGGAGGGGAGAGGGGAGAGGGGGTGGGCAAGCTAGGTGCGCTCGCGCCATACGTGACATCCAAACCTTCCCACCCATCCCTTCCCATTGCGCTGTTTTTTCTCTGTCCGCCGACGCGTGTCATAGCGGACCTGGCATTCCCAAACGGACCCCATCGTGTTATGCGCAATCGGAAATGGGGAGCTGCGTGCTTTGGAGAAGTTGGCGGATGAGCAGGAGAATGAGCAGGAGGAAGGGGAGGATAAGGAAGGAGGAGGAAGGAGAAGGACGAGGACGAACATCAACATCAACAGGATATGGAGTAGAAGGAGGGGGAGGATCAGGAAGAACGTGGAAGTCGGAGGAGGGGAAAAGAGGGGGGCGACAACGACGAGAAAGGCCTCGAATCCAGAAACGTGGCCCGCGCTGGGCCGAGAGCGTGCCACTCCGAACGACGGGAGCAGAGCCCCGATCCCAACATGGGGCCCACGCCGCAGCGGCAACAAGACTTGGAAGGCCCAAAGGCTGCCGGATTGTAAGCACAGCCATCGGATGGACGAAGTTCTGACAATCAGGAGTGAGTGATGGATGATGCCGACGAGATGCAGTTGGAGCAACCCCCTAGAGTCTGGGGAGATGCAGCCCCCTAGAGTCTGGGGGCGCCCCAGAGTCTGCACAGCGCCTTTTTCATATACATGCTCTTAAACAGCACAATTCGCGGAGGGGAGGCGGGCCGCTCCCTGGCCATCCTCGGGGGAGAGAGGGGAATCGTACTCGTGCCGAGTAAACTGTGGAAGGCCCGCCACCATCCTGCCGTTCGCCGCCCTCCTTCCCCCTCCGCTGCTTCCTCCACCCCCTCTGGCACCTCCTCTTTTCGGCCCTCCCTCCCTTCCCTTCTCTACCTTCTCTCCCCCTTCCCCACCACGGTATATCCTGAATATTGTGCGCATATATGTGTGTACATATATATATATATATATAGATGTACATTTGTATCTGTATATGTGTACGTATAGATATGCATGTTATGTTTAATTCATGCATGCAATACACATCTCTTGCTCAATCCCCGTTCTTTCAAACTCCCTCTCTCCTTTCCCCTGGTCCCTCTAAGCAAGTTGCGCTGCTGCATGGCTGGTATTGTAAAGAGTGGCCCCTGTGTGTCTGGGTTCGCGGTGATAGGCACCAGGGTTCTGCACATGTTGGTTGCATTTGTGTGGTGCCTTTCGCCAGGTTTGCCTAGAGGGTCCTGCCCATGGAAAGCTGACCTCGGCTGCCGTGCTGTGCCATGGAGGATTGGGCTCGTGCGGTGGCTGGTGGTTGACCAAAGGTCCTGCCCAGAGGATCCCGCCCCTCGTTCTCGTCAGAACTTATCCCCAGGCGTCTCCTCCTGGACACTGGGGTTCGTCACTCACTCGAACTCGATCGATAGTGCCCGATAGCCACTATCGCCGCCCCCGCCCCGATGCAACTGCCGTGGGAGGGAGGCGCACACTTTTGCTCGAGCCCAAGCGCCGGCGCTGCACGCACGCGTGTCAATATGTTCAACACACAGAATCTACACTCGTGTTATTTTCTTTGACTAAGCGTGGCTCGCGGCAGGCGGGCGCCGGGCATAGCCCTCAGTTCAACAGCAAAAGGCAGGCGTCGTCGCAAACCGCGAGGATGCCCGTGCTTGCCAAAATGGCAGTGTAGTAGTCCTCCACGTGGTGGCTCACGTCGGAGAGGTCGAGCTCGTGCCCTGGGCGGATGTCGCCCTGGTCTCGCCAGAGGTCGCCCTGGTCTCGCCAGAGGCCTTCTGGTACATATCACGCAAGCGGATGGCCTTCATCTCAGCTTGCACCTGCTTCTCCTTCTCCGCACGGAGGAGCTTCTCCTGGGCACGATACTCCTTCTCCTGTCGCCACCAGTCGGTGTCGGTGTCCACCAGCAGTGAGCCACACTGCATGCACCTCAGCTTGTCCTTGTACTGGTTGCTCCCTCGGGTCGTGAGCTTCTCCTTCGGGTGCTCGCAGTGGTCTGAGCTGGGGTCGGTCTTGCCCTGGCTCTTCCCTTTGTGGCTGCTGCCGGACCCGTCCATCCAGAACTCCTTGTTATTGATTCCGCGTTGCACCGTGGCGTAGATCTTCTTGTCCTTCCGGCACACGTTGCAGTTATTGACGACCACCTCGTACGCCTCCAGGACACCTTCCTCCAGCACATCGCCGAAGTCCTCCTCGATCTGCATGTAGGATGCGTGCTTGGTCTTCTCGTGCAACGCGCGTGCCTTCATCATGGCCTTCTTCGTCGGTGTCGTAGACTTCTGCCGCTCCTGGTAAAGTCGGTGTGGTAGCTTTTCCCAGTCACCGGCGTCATCTCCGCCTTCATCGTCGTCACCTGGTACTGGCGGTAGCTCTCCTGGATGTGTTGAGCACGATGATCGCTGGTTGGCCTTCTTGCGGGTTCGCGGTCCACACTCGCACTGATCCACCACCATGCGGCACACTGCGCACACAACCACCGTCGCGGCCGCGGCGGCGCCTGACTTGACCTCCTCGGTCTCGGCACCCGCAGCGTCCATCATGTAGATCTCCGCGACCTCGTTGGTGCCGTCCACCTTCACCGTCTCGGCCGACTCCACGATCGCACCAAGATCCTCGGTAACATCCGGCTTGTCCTGCATGTCGCCCTCGTCGGTCACCTTCGGCTTCTTGATCACGTGCTTCTCCGTGAAGTCCTTCTCGTAGCGCTCGAGGGCGGCCTTGGTCGGCGCATAGATCGTCAGCAGCTTCCGTATCTGCGTGGGAATCCTCCTGCGCTTCGACACCTGGTCCAGGCCAGACCAGTCGACCATCTCCTCAAGCTTCTCGTAGTAGACGTCGTCCTCGCGCTGGCCGAGTGTCATACGCCATCGGAGGTATGGCTTCGGAGCAGGCTGTAGCACGCGCGCGTTGTACCGAACGTCCGCGATGCACTCCTCGAAGTAAGTGTAGCCTTCGTGAACGTAGTGTTGTTCGGCAGGTCGCAGTCTCTTGGGGTACTTCGCGCGGTAGTACTCGCCCCTGCGTCCCTTGAGCTCCATCCTCTGCTTGGCTATGATCTGGTCGGCCATGAGGTCCTCGGTGAGCCGGTACTCGCCGGTCTGGAGCACGTACCTCATGTAGTCGCCAGCGCGCACGTCGTTCTTGGTGAGGCAGTCGGCGAGCATCTGCTTCGTGTTCACCCACTTGCTCACCACGTTGTTGAACTCCAAGTCATTCCTGAGCGCCTCGATGTCGATCAGCAGCCGCCTCTCGGAGGGTACCGTCCCTCGCTTCTGGAGTAGGTCGTAGAGCGACTTGCAGTCCGTGACCTCCACCATCTTGATGGCCTTCACGTCCTCCATGTGAGTCCGGTAGCCGAGTCCGTAGTGCAGCTCCACCAGGTGCTGCCTCAGCATGTCCCCGCTCTCGACCGCCTCCAGCGCCGCCATCGTCTCGGCAGAGAGGGTGCTGCGGACCACTCGCTTGATGCGGTGTGATCGCCACAGCATGGGTGTGACCTTGGCCGGTCTCCCCTGCAGGAACTTGTCGTCCTTGTTGTCCGCGAGCAGGATGACCAAGCCCGCCTGGCTAGCGGTCTTCGTCTTGCCCACGTTGCCATGGCTAGAATCTCCAACTGCAACCACGATCGCGTCGTCTATGTTGATCTTCTGGAAGGTGATGTCCACGTGGTCCGTCTTGGCGTCGCTCACCAGCTTGTTGAAATCCAGCAGGTCCTGAACCTTCAGGTCGCTGTCGTGAGCCCTTGCCTGGCTTTCCACCAGCCGGAACGCCAAGTCCATGCGGGTCGACCGCACCAACCACTGGATCTGGCCATTGCCGCTGTGGAGCATCGCCCTCTCTTCAGCAGTAGCCTTCGCCTCCTTGTCCTTGCGACGCTCGCTCGAGATCGGTATCTTCTCGATGCTCTCGGTGTACTCCTTCTGGCTGCAGGTGATGGTGCCATCGTCGTTCTGCTTGAGGAAGCGCCCGCAATGATGGAAGCCGGCCTTCGCCGTCTGCCACTTGCCGTAACAGTGAATCTTCCTCAGCTTGGCCACCTGGTTAGCGAAGAACTCGGGCGAGCCCGCTACCAAATCGTCGTCCACATGCGTCCCGATCAGGCCGATCAGCTTCCCGTGTTCGTCGTGGAAGATGAAGAGAGCCGGGCATAGCTTCGACCTTGATGCGCCGGGCAGGGACAGTATGGTATCTCGATGCTCCTCGTACCACAGCAGTGGTGCGTCGTTCAGCCCGTAGATGCCCTTCTTCGCTTTCAGCACCGTCCCCTCGGGAACCGCTGGCCAGCCCAACTCGGGCACCGCCGGCAGTCCGCCTTTCGGCGCACGAAAGTACACGCGCCGAGAGTCGTCGAGGTACTTCCCGTTCAGAAATGCCGAGTCGACGTCGCCTTGCTCCAGCCTCCAGCCCTCCTGGCTGGCCGCCTCCTGCACGATCACCGCCGTGGCCACGTCCGTCAGCGTTGGAGCGTTGGTCTTCAACTCCCCCGCGAGCAGCTGCTTGTCCTTGTAGCCCGGGACGATGTTCCTGGACTTCGCCTTGAGCGGATGCTGCTCGTACGACAAGCTGCCTCTCGTCGCCTCGTTCTTGTCCGTGCGGACGCGCCTCATGGGCAGGATCGCCGACTGGTCGACTCCCGCGAGCTCCTCGTCAGTAGGCCACTCCACGGCGTCGTACTCGACCCACTTGCGCCACTCTTCCAGGTCGCTCGCGTCGAAGGCCGCCTTCCACTCAGGTGGGATGCTA